CTCTGCTCTGTGTTGTACAGCCGTGTCAGTGCGTCTTCCTTCACGTTCTTCGTACCTGGTATGTAGGACAGTGTAAAATCAAATCGGGTAAAGAACAGGGCCCACCTGGCCTGGAGAGGGTTCAGCCTCCTTGCTGCCTGGATATACTCCAGGTTACGGTGGTCAGTCCAGACTAAGAAAGGGTGTTTTGCCCCCTCGAGCCAGTGCCTGCACACGGTCAGGGCTCTGACAACTGCCAACAACTCCCGATCACCAACGTCGTAGTTCTGCTCCGCTGTGCTGAGCTTCTTGGAGAAGAAGGCACAGGGGCGGAGCTTGGGTGGCGTGCTCAAGCGTTGAGATAGGACAGCGCCTATCCCAACCTCGGACGCATCCACCTCCATAACGAACGGTAATGATGGATCGGGATGGGCCAGTACCGGGGCTGAGGTGAACAGAGCCCTCAGGTTACTGAAAGCCCTGTCAGCCTCAGCAGACCAGCGGAGCCGGGACGGCCTACCCTTCAACAGAGAGGTGATGGGAGCTGCGACCTTGCCAAAGCCTCGGATAAACCTCCGATAGTAGTTGGCAAAGCCAAAGCGCTGCACCGCCTTTACCGTGGTTGGAGTTGGCCAATCAAGCACGGCTGAAATGCGTTCTCCCCCCATCTCCACACATGAGGTGGTAATGCGGTATCCGAGGAAGGAGACGGACTGTTGGAAAAACAGACACTTTTCTGCCTTGGCATAAAGGTCATGTTCCAACAGTCGGGCCAGCACTTTGCGAACCAGGGACACATGCTTGGCGCGTGTAGCGGAATACACCAGAATGTCATCAATGTAGACCACTACACCGCGACCAAGCATGTCCCAAAACACCTCGTTTACAAAGGACTGGAAGACGGATGGAGCATTCATCAAACCGTACAGCATCACCAGGTATTCGTAATGCCCCGTGGTTGTGCTGAATGCTCTCTTCCACTCATCCCCCTCTCGGACACGGACCAGGTTGTACGCACTCCGGAGATCTAATTTTGTGAAGAAGCGCGCCCCATGCATTGACTCGATTACAGATGGAATGATGGGTTGATGATAACTATAACATATTGTCCCCTTGTTCAGTGCTCGGTAATCAATGCAAGAGCGCAGACCTCTGTCTTTCTTCTTCAAAAAAAAGAAACTCGAGGAGGCGGGCGAAGTGGAGGGACGTATGAACCCCTGGCACAGGGACTCGGAGATGTATGTCTCCATAGCCTCTGTTTCAGCCTGCGACAGGGGATATACATGACTCATGGGAGGCACAGCATCTACCCAGAGGTTTATCGCACAATCCCCCGCCCGATGAGGTGGTAATTTGGTCGCCTGTGTTTTGTTAAACGCGTGCGCCAAATCGAGGTATACGGGGGGGATTGTGCGATAAATAATAATAATAATAAAAAAGGTGACTTGCTCTCTATGGGTCTTTTGCGTAACCATCGTGACTGGTGCTGTCACTTCCCTAACGAACCCTGACCCTAATGGTCGACTGTCAAGTGCTTTGATGGGCAGTGGAATGGATAGGGGAACCAATGGAATACCTAGACTATGAGCTAATGACCTGTCCATAAAGTTCCCAGATGCACCTGAATCGACCAGCGCCTTACACTGGGGAACTACTGTGTAATCAGGGAAGGTGACATGTATGGTGCGGTGCGGGGCAGCGGGTTCTGAACAAGCGTGGTTTTGCGCTACCTGGGGTGACGCGAGAGTGCCCTGCCTTCCGCCTCCAGACCCGGAAGAACCCTGACGACAGCGTACAGCAGAATGTCCTCTCCTGCGCCAAGAGTGACACTGGAGTTGTCGTCCTCCATTCTCCCGGATCGCTGCACCACCCAGCTCCATCGGAACTGAATCCGGGTTGAGGGTGGGTGAAACGGGCAGGCCCCTTCCAGGACGTCCTCTTGCAGCTAGCAGGTTGTCCAACCGGATGGCCATGTCCACCAGCTGGTCGAAAGTCAACATGGTATCCCGGCAGGCTAGCTCCCTTCGGACGTCCTCTCGCAGGCTGCACCGGAAGCTGTCGATGAGGGCCCGCTCGTTCCACCCGGACCCAGCCACTAGAGTACGAAACTCCAGGGCAAAGTCCTGTGCGATCCTTGTCCCCTGCCTCAGGTGGACCAGCAAACTCCCCGTAGTTGTCCAACGCGGCTCCTCCTTCACTCCAGACCGCGTTGACCCAATCCACGGCTTTCCCCGAGAGGCAGGAGATGAGGGCGGACACCTTCTCCTGCTCCGATGGAGCCGGGCTGATGGTGGAGAAGTAGAGGTCCAGTTGCAGGAGGAATCCCTGGCAGTGGGCAGCTGTCCCATCATAATCCCTTGGTCGGGATAGATGAATCCCTCTGGGTCCTGGGGTGTGGGTGGCTGGATCCAGTCACTCAGCTGGTCCCGAAGGATAGGGTCCTCTCCTCTCCAGGCGTTGGACGATCTGGAGATCCCGATCCATCGATTCTCCCAAGCTGGCTAGCATCGTAGAATGCTCCCGGACCCACGCCACGACTTCAGGCATGTGCTCCTCTCCTGCTGACTTCATGTCTTGGTGTGTGATTCTGTGGTGAGTGATTTTGAAGGAGTAAGGCGCAGGAGGGTAAATCACAGAATAAAAGGGTTTATTCCGAAAACACAGCGGTACGCAGCAATGCGTCAAACACTCCAGTGCGTAAATCAGGCGCACTAGGAAACAACAAGGCACACGGGTGAAATATCCCGGCGAAACAAAATACAAGGAGCTCCACCGAGCTAAACTAACCTCCACAATAAACAATCACACACAAAGACAAGAGGGGCAGAGGGAACACTTATACAGGTACTGATGAGGGGATATGAACCAGGTGTATGTAGTAAACAAGACAAAACAAATGGAATGATGAGATGAGGAGCGGCAGTGGCTAGAAGGCCGGTGACGATGAACGCCGAAGCCTGCCCGAACAATTTACATAAGTATTCACACCCCTGAGTCATCAATACTTTGTAGAAGCACATTTGGCAGCGATTACAGCTGTGAGTCTTTCTGGGCAAATCTCTAAGAGCTTTCCACACCTGGATTGTGCAACATTTGCCCATAATTTTTTTCAAACTTCTTCAAGCTCTGTCAAACAATACGTGGCCTTCTTTGCGAGGCATTGGAAAACCTCCCTGGTCTTTGGTTGAATAAGTTTGAAATTCCCTGCTCGACTAAGGGACCTTACAGATAATTGTATGTGCGGGGTACAAAGATGAGGTCCCGTGTAGCTCAGTTGGTAGAGCATGGCGCTTGCAACGCCAGGGTTGTGGGTTCGTTTCCCACGGGGGGCCAGTATGAAAAAAAAAATTATGCACTCACTAACTCTAAGTCGCTCTGGATAAGAGCGTCTGCTAAATGACTAAAATGTAAAATGTAGTAATTCCAAAATCATGTTAAACACTATTATTGCACACAGCGAGTCCATATTTACTTCTGAACTTATTTATGCTTGCCATAACAATGGGGTTGAATACTTATTGACTCAAGACATTTCAGCTTTACGTTTTTTATTAATTTGAAAAATATGATTCAACTTTCACATTATGGGGTATTGTGTGTAGGCCAGTGACAAAAAAATCAACATTTAATCAATTTTAAATTCAGGCTGTAACACAGAAAAATGTGGAATTGCCTGAATGTGGTGTGAATACTTTCTGATGGCACTGTAGTTTAAACCACCATGTCAACAAAATGCTGTCCTCAATGCTTAAGTTGTATTATGTATGGCTCAATTTGTGGAAATGCTGTGATCACCCATCGTCTTTAATGTTGTGATTCACAGACACACAATGACCACGCGTTGAATGTTGCAACTGAGACGGAATGAAGTCAAGGGACACGCTGAGAACCCGATGACTGGGAATGGGACAGATATTTGTGACAACGGCCTAAAAGTGGTGCAGAAGCACACCAGCACCCGGTTTTATGTTTATTCCATGGCCAACCATTTCTCTAGCTACCTCTTTCCCACACTATGCCTTTTATGCCCCATGGTCCCTCAACTTCGGACACTTTGGAACTCTCCGTCTTATCTCTATAAACCCACCCTACCTTCATCCATTTTCCCTATCATGCTTCCTTCACTTGTTCTTCTCCTGATTGGATAACATCTAGACTCATTAACACATTTAAAACTGTTGTGGTGTACTGTTTTTGCTACCTTTTTTCACCTGTGTAATGATGTCCTGCTTATTCTGGGGTTCAGACTTAATGCAGTGGTAAATGTGCTGCTCACAATTGACAGCAGCAACATGGACCTGTTAAATTGACAAGAAGGGTGTTGATATACCTGTGTTTAGGCATGGCTTCCTTGTTTTGAGTCTGTTAAGTGTGTTTTTCATTCTGCTGGAGTTGACCTAGGATTTTATATTAAACCTACCTTATACATCCAGTTGTTTCTCCATTTGTAACTCACTCACCAAAAATCTGCTGTTTTACATTTTGTGTTATTTGTGCTGGTCTAATTCCTCAAATGGAAAAGCAGAAGAATATGTGAGCTCTCAGATAGTGATAATAGTTCACATGCTGCTCTTCAATGTCCCAGGTTTGTGGCATTGATGAACAAATAATTACATATTTACTTCAAAGTCAGATGTTTATATGTTATATATAAAAGGCATATGTATGCATTGTTTACTATTTAGATTTCTTTAAATTGTTGGGGTTCAGGTATTTGACGTGATTGATGGGTGACTAGGTGCATTGTTGTCAAATAAATCTGCTTATTCATTCATGATTATCGATACATTCTGCAACGAGTTAGCTGGCTTTGAATCTGCAACAGAACATGTCAACAAGTTAGTTCTGAATTGCTTTAATACAGCAGTGCATTCTGACACCATGAATTTAAATAGATTTCACCTCGTTCATATAGTGCATATACTTTTAAAGATGCACTGTCCCTTTAAGGCAGCCATGGCTCCTCTCGAGTCGAGGCCGACATTTTTCAATGCAAGATCTTACTTGCATAAATTATGTTCATGACGTAGTGCTAAAGGCCACATTTTTGGTAATTTTGGTGGATTTTACACAGAAGTCGCTTTTTGGAGGTATCTTGAGGAATATGTAGGTAATCTGAATTGTAGTACCAAAGGACCGTCATTAAATATTGAGAAAGAAAGGATCCTCGCGTTTCCAACCCTCCTTATCAATGCAAATATCTATTTTGTATTCAGCCATAGCGCCTGACCTGTGTTGTGAGATGCATTTTTAATTATGTGTGACTAAAACAAACTCTGGCAAAGCTTTTTAAAAGGGGAGAACCACAGAAATAAGACACATTTTTTACGGTAAGTTGTTAGCTAAGATAGCATGCGTAAGATTCCCATTGGCTATATAGGGCGACGAAATGGCAATAGGAAATGAGTTTTTTTGGTTAATATGCAATGCTCTTAATTAGCATAATTTATATATTTATGATAAATAGAGGGAAATACATAAAATGCAGTCCCCAGGCATGGAATTGCGGGTGATTTTTTTGTCGCCGCATATTTTATGGGTAACATCGTGTCCTCAAATAGGTTACATGGCGAGATTTATTGGGGCTAGATTAGGGGTGGCCAGAGTACGGGGATCATCACCTGCCGAAGTTTTGACAGATCTATAATTTCTGTGTTGGTGTGTGCTGCGCGCGACTGATCTTTTTGATATTACGTCAAAATATAAACATTTCGAATAGTCGTTTGTCAGCTATGATCATCCTAGAAGGCTAGATTTGTTGGGGACGTAGGCGGGCCTATATCTTTTAGGCTGCTAATGATCAAGAAGCTGCCAATTCTTGGTGCATTATATGTTTAATTTGTCATAAAGACATTGCCTTTATGAAAAATTAAGTAATACAGTCCATTATTATCACTGTGTGTGTGTGCACCCCTGTAGCCCCCAGTATACAAGTACACTGTCTGGACCAAATGTTCTAGTTGTGAATTCTATTTATATTGCTGTCACTTTTGTGGCATCATATGATTTGTTAATTTTATACCCTTTAACTACATCTAGAAACCTAATTGTCACAATGCTACAGCCTGCCTGCACAGCAGACCGCCATTTTATTAGATAGGCCCATGAGACACTAATGTAGGAGCGCTATTTCAACTATTTGCTATTGAACAGTCATTCTTTACATAGCTATAATAATAATAATAATAATAATAATAGTTTCATCTGGAGTAGCACAAATGTCTCCAACCATTTGGCATACTTCATAGATTTAATAGAAAAAGTATCAGCACACCATATAGATGGAAAAAAAATTTGTTCACATAGGCAAGCCTAATACCTGGTAGTTTTTATGTTTCAGTATTATCTTTCCTTACTTAGAATGTCAAGACAGTGACTGCATGGTGGTGAGAGCACTAAACCATGGACCCTCAGGATCTCCCTGCTACTGATGCACCCCTCACTGTCAATGAACAGGTATCACTAACTGCTCTGTAAACACTACCTGATGTCAAGTCAGTTATACACCCCTGCCCAACTTTCCAAAATGTCTGTGTTGCCTCTGCTTCATAGTCCTCTGTCATAAGCTGTTGCCACGTCCATGTCACCATGTATTTGGAATGATTAATCCCACACAGTCATCTTGAGGTTGATATAGTAGCTATGCAAATGTCATCAATTAATAACGATTCGGTAACACTTCTAAGTTGTGTGCTATACTCTGTCATGCTTATTGATTAATTGTGTATGTCTACTCCGGCTGTGTCCTTTAAACTCATATTCAGCAAACTAAAGCAATCGTGGTCAAAAGTTTTGAGAATGACACAAATACTAATTTTCACAAAGTCTGCTGCCTCAGTTTTGATGATGGCAATTTGCATATACTCCAGAATGTCATGAAGAGTGATCAGATGAATTGCAATTAATTGCAAAGTCCCTCTTTGCCATGAAAATGAACTTAATCCCCAAAAAACATTTCCACTGCATTTCAGCCCTGCCACAAAAGGACCAGCTGCCATCATGTCAGTGATTCTCTCGTTAACACAGGTGAGAGTGTTGACGAGGACAAGGCTGGAGATCACTCTGTCATGCTGATTGAGTTAGAATAACAGACTGGAAGCTTTAAAACGAGGATGGTGCTTGAAATCATTGTTCTTCCTCTGTTAACCATGGTTACCTGCAAGGAAACACGTGCCGTCATCATTGCTTTGCACAAAAAGGGCTTCACAGGCAAGGATATTGCTGCTAGTAAGATTGCACCTAAATCAACCATTTATCGGATCATCAAGAACTTCAAGGAGAGAGGTTCAATTGTTGTGAAGAAGGCGTCAGGGCGCCCAAGAAAGTCCAGCAAGCGCCAGGACCGTCATCAGTCAGGATGTGGCCCAGAAGTTAATTGACAGCATGCCAGGGCGGATTGCAGAGGTCTTGAAAAAGAAGGGTCAACACTGCAAATATTGACTCTTTGCATAAACTTAATGCAATTGTCAATAAAAGCAATTGACACTTATGGAATGCATGTAATTATACTTCAGTATACCATAGTAACATCTAACAAAAATATCTCATAACACTGAAGTAGCGAACTTTGTGGAGACCAATACTTGTGTCATTCTCAAAACTTTTGACCACGTCTGTATTTTTGTAATTACAAGCAGAGCTCTCAGAAAGCATTGCTTGAGCTGCTTGTTGGCTGATGCTCTTTGTTGTAGTCATGTTTTTCCCCCCCCATTTGTTTGCGTTTATTTTGGTTCATTGTATCCTAACGTGTGTGGTTGGCCTCTCTGTTCTCCTTAGCCATTCACTGTCTGACTGCAGAAGTATTTTTGTCAGCCATTAGGTTCCTGCATTTTGAAATACCCTGCCAAAGACAACCAGGTATGCATCCCTTCTTTCCTGCATTGCACTCTCTGTCTGCACCTTTCCCTCCAGCTCAGGTTTTCTCCCTGCCTCTCCTTCACATCTTTCATGGCTGCATCCACTCATACATCATGTATTTGCTTTGTTATATTTACTAATAATATACAAATTGGATAATGAGGATAAGAAACGGATGGGGAGGAGCTGTCTACCCTGGTGACAACAACTATGACAGGTCATACTCCTATGGCATGGTTTGCTCTTGTGTAAACTCATGTTCTGTTCCACATGTAACCAATACAGATGGTCCTCTACCTGAGTTGTCTCAGTAGGTTGAGACTGAACGGTACTAAATGTAACTTGATACATCAGTGGAACAGTACTGAGCCTAGTTAGATATTTATACCATATAATTGTATTATTACTACATGATTATCTCTCGGCCCTCCTCCTCATCATGACTCGGAACAAAAAAATCCACGCTGCTGAGAATAGATGATGATGAGTCATTTATTGTGTATAGTTGCGTGACTTGGTCTTCTATTCATAAAGCGTCTCAGGAGTGCAGATCTAGGATCAGGTCCATTCTGTCCATGTAATCTTATCCGTTATGATCAGCACCCCTACTCTGAGACACTTTATGAATACGGACCCTGGTCTTGTGTTGTACTCTCCAATGCTGTGCAGGTGATAGTGATGTCTGGCCATGAGACGATCCGAGTCCTGGAAGTGGAGGTAGATCAAGCCTCAGTGCCTGATGGGAGGACTGATTCGGGGGGTGACGATGGGGGTAATCAGGCCACGGAGCAACCTGAGGCAGGCATGCAGGACAGCCCGACACCACCCCACAACGCTGGGGGAGTAGGTGAGCCCTTTGTAGGATACCGATATGGTAGGTTAGACTCCATGCAATACAGATTATACTGCATTTCGTTTACCGTTTCAGTGTAACAATATTTATAATACATCATTTAAGAGTGAGGTATGGTGTGTGCTGATGGTAGACTAACAGTGTGTTCTCTCTCTGTGCTGTCAGTGCTGGAGGACCAGGTGGTATCTACAGACTCTGCTGTCCAGACTCTAGCACAGACTGCAGTTCCCATCAGCGTCTCCCTGTCTCAGTCACAGACCACCATGCCCATCACTGTGCAGAGCTTACAGGGATGTCAACAGGTGAGAACAATTAAACAAAAATAACTTTTCAACTACTTTTAGTGTAATCACCCCCTTCTCCTTTTCCTCTCCCATGAGTCACACTTTACCTGTCTGGATCTCACCTCTTCCTCCCTAATACCCCTCTTCCTCTTCCTCCTCCTCCTACCACCTACCACCTCCTCCTCCTACCCCTCCTCCTCCTCCTACCACCTCATACCACTCCTCCCCCTCCTTCCACCTCATACCCATCCTCCTCCCCCTGCTCCTGCTCCTCCTCCTCTCACCCCTCCTCCCCCGCCTCCTCCTCCTCCCACCTCTCACCCCTCTTCATCCTCCCTCCTCTTGTAGGTTCTGACCCAGGATGGTCTGGCCACTCTGATGACGGGGATGATGGCCCAGACAGGCTCCCTGGCCCAGCCCCTGCTCATCCCCCTCAGCATGGCAGGGTCCATGGGGGGCCAAGGAGGCCTGGCTGTCCTCACCTTCCCCACCAGCAACATAGCCACACTCCCTGGCCTTTCAGCTGCCAGCCAGGCCGGAAGCCTCCTCAAACTACCCTTTGCCAGCTTACAAGGCTTACAAGGATTGCAAGGCTTACAAGGGCTGCAAAGTAAGACATGGCAGAGATACACACCTCAGAATGCAAAGCATTAATCGACATTGAATCAACAGTCAAGATTATTTTGGCTACCACATGGGGCTTTATCTGTATGTTTGTGCTCTTCTTTCCCAGCAGCCACTGTGCTAAACTCTGTCCAGCCCCAGCAGACTGTTTTCCAGCCTCAGACAGCATCACTACAGCAGGTCCAGGCAGCTATGCAGCAGGCTCAGCAGAACTCACAGGTGACCGCAGCCCAACTGGCCCAGGCCACGCCAGCCGTCTCTCAGCCCAGCGTGTCTGTAGCAACACTCCAGTCTGCAGGCCTTTCCATCAACCCTGCCATTGTAAGAATGTGTTTCTGTATTGTGTTTCTATACACGCCTAGACGTGTGTGTTTGGACTGCTGGTCAGCAGGCCATGTTTATTACTTCAAAGTTTGGACATGTCTGTGGATAACTTGAGCAAAGAACTTAATCCACATGAATATACTTTGTATTCAAAATGATCACATTATCGACAGTAGAATAATCTGGATGCCTCCGTTTCTTTCCCCAGATCAGTGCTGCGTCTCTAGGGGCTCAGCCTCAGTTCATCAGCGCCCTTACTTCCACTCCCATCTTCACCACTACCATGTCCGGAATCACCAGCCAGATCATCACCAACGCACAGGGACAGGTGTGCAAACATGCAAATATTTAACAAGCTCACTGTTTAGCAAGCACCAAATTAAGAATCACACTATTTCAACCAAGACGTTTTAACTGTCTATTACAGATGTATAAACTATCTATAAACTGATAATTAAGTTTATATAGAACTTATAAACCCTGTTTAAACCCTTATATCCTATAACTTGTTGTACAGTGTTATTGACAAATGCATACCCTAATTCTCTTCAATGTGGCCTCCAGGTGATTGGAACCATCCCCCTGATGCTGAACCCTGCATCACTGACTGGAGGGGCTGCTACTCAGTCTCTGAATCTCCAGGGCCTCCAGGGTCTACAAGGCCTGCAGGTGCAGACAGTCCAGCCACAGCTGATTCTGAACACCCAGGGACAGATCATTGCCACCATAGGGAATGGACCTGCTATAGTCCCCACATCTGCAGCTGTAATGCCCAAGCCTACTGCTCCTGTGACATTCTCCAAGCCCAGCACTCAGGTACTGTAGGCCTTCCCCCTCCATTCATTTGTCCTTATGAGTGCTTTTGAGTGGTTATTTGAGTGGTTATATTTTGTGTGAACATTTGGTTAAACTGGAAATGGTTGGTCTTTGTTGGATGTAACCATTAACCCATTGCTGACATTTCCGCTCAGGTAACAACAGTTACGCAGTCACCTGTGGTCATCGCCCCACAACCGTCTGCAATGAAGACAGTCACTCCAATCTGCTCCTCAGTCCCTATCACCTGTGGAGACACACCCACTGTTGGCCAGCTTGTCAGCAGTACGTGGTTTCACTTTTAAATTTTCCATTTATCCTCTATTTAACAAGGGAATTCACATTGAGATTGAACATCTTTTTCAAGCGAGCCCCGACCAAGAAAAAGCAGCATCTTCTCTCTAAACATAGATCTTGTTTTACAAGTAGTTAGATATTTACATCTGGTTTGTCTCTTCCCATCTTAAGAGCCACAGCAAGGGGGCACAGATGAGGAGGGCATTAATCTGGAAGAGATTCGAGAGTTTGCCAAGAACTTCAAGATCCGCCGGCTGTCCCTGGGGCTGACGCAGACACAAGTGGGACAGGCCCTCACGGCTACAGAGGGTCCGGCCTACAGTCAGTCTGCCATCTGCAGGTAAACTCCTCTGGCCTACTGGGTGGTTGCAGGCAGCACAGTCGATAGGTTTCTGAAATCCATTCTATCAAATATGATAAATAGTGTATGTTGGTATGCTGTGGACAATGTAGTTCAAAGGCTACATTTTGAAAGTGTTTGTACTCGTAGGAAAATCAAAGGATAGTAGCTCTGACAAAAATATACTTACAGTGAGGGAAAAAAGTATTTGATCCCCTGCTGATTTTGTACGTTTGCCCACTGACAAAGACATGATCAGTCTATAATTTTAATGGTAGGTTTATTTGAACAGTGAGAGACAGAATAACAACAAAAAAATCAAGAAAAACGCATGTCAAAAATGTTATAAATTGATTTGCATTTTAATGAGGGAAATAAGTATTTGACCCCTCTGCAAAACATGACTTAGTACTTGGTGGCAAAACCCTTGATGGCAATCACAGAGGTCAGACGTTTCTTGTAGTTGGCCACCAGGTTTGCACACATCTCAGGAGGGATTTTGTCCCACTCCTCTTTGCAGATCTTCTCCAAGTCATTAAGGTTTCGAGGCTGACGTTTGGCAACTCGAACCTTCAGCTCCCTCCACAGATTTTCTATGGGATTAAGGTCTGAAGACTGGCTAGGCCACTCCAGGACCTTAATGTGCTTCTTCTTGAGCCACTCCTTTGTTGCCTTGGCCATGTGTTTTCGGTCATTGTCATGCTGGAATACCCATCCACGACCCATTTTCAATGCCCTGGGTGAGGGAAGGAGGTTCTCACCCAAGATTTGACGGTACATGGCCCCGTCCATCGTCCCTTTGATGTGGTGAAGTTGTCCTGTCCCCTTAGCAGAAAAACACCCCCAAAGCATAATGTTTCCACCTCAATGTTTGACGGTGGGGATGGTGTTCTTGGGGTCATAGGCAGCATTCCTCCTCCTCCAAACATGGCAAGTTGAGTTGATGCCAAAAAGCTCGATTTTGGTCTCATCTGACCACAACACTTTCACCCAGTTCTCCTCTGAATCATTCAGATGTTCATTGGCAAACTTCAGACGGGCCTGTAAATGTGCTTTCTTGAGCAGGGGGACCTTGCGGGCGCTGCAGGATTTCAGTCCTTCACAGCGTAGTGTGTTACCAATTGTTTTCTTGGTGACTATGGTCCCAGCTGCCTTGAGATCATTGACAGTATCCTCCCGTGTAGTTCTGGGTTGATTCCTCACCGTTCTCATGATCATTGCAACTCCACGAGGTGAGATCTTGCATGGAGCCCCAGGCAGAGGGAGATTGACAGTTCTTTCGTGTTTCTTCCATTTGCGAATAATCGCACCAACTGTTGTCACCTTCTCACCAAGCTGATTGCCGATGGTCTTGTAGCCCATTCCAGCCTTGTGTAGGTCTACAATCTTGTCCCTGACATCCTTGGAGAGCTCTTTGGTCTTGGCCATGGTGGAGAGTTTGGAATCTGATTGATTGATTGCTTCTGTGGACAGGTGTCTTTTATACAGGTAACAAACTGAGATTAGGAGCACTCCCTTTAAGAGTGTGCTCCTAATCTCAGCTCGTTACCTGTATAAAAGACACCTGGGAGCCAGAAATCTTTCTGATTGAGAGGGGGTCAAATACTTATTTCCCTCATTAAAATGCAAATCAATTTATAACATTTTTGACATGCATTTTTCTGGATTATTTTGTTGTTATTCTGTCTCTCACTGTTCAAATAAACCTACCATTAAAATTGCAGACTGATCATTTCTTTGTCAGTGGGCAAATGTACAAAATCAGCAGGGGATCAAATACTTTTTTCCCTCACTGTAGTAAATAGAGACCAGGGCCCAGATTCACAAAACCTTCTTAAGAATAGATTTCTTCTTAAATGCAGTTTTTTTCCTTAACTGTAGACTTAAGAAGAAAGTTAAGCAAAGTTGCTATTCCTCAAAAAGGTTATTGGACATGTTCTTGCTCTATTTCTTGTGTTTCTCCTTAAGCAAAAAGTTAAGAAGAAATGCGATTCTTGAAAATAAATAGAGACCAGATGAAATGGGGTTAGGTGTTATTTTAAAGAGTAGATGTGGGGTTCAATCTGGTTGATCAGCGGCTACTGTGTAAATCGTTTCTAAGTTGTTACTCCTCTGTTGCCTCTTGCAGGTTTGAGAAACTGGACATTACACCTAAGAGTGCTCAGAAGCTGAAGCCTGTGCTGGAGCGATGGCTGGCCGAAGCTGAGCTGTGGAACCAGAAGGGTCAGCAGAATCTAATGGAGTTTGTGGGTGGTGAGCCGTCCAAGAAACGCAAGCGTCGCACCAGCTTCACCCCGCAGGCCATCGAAGTGCTCAACACCTACTTTGAGAAGAATGCCCTGCCCACGGGCCAGGAGATTACGGAAATCGCTAAGGAGCTCAACTACGACCGTGAGGTTGTCCGCGTATGGTTCTGCAACAGGCGGCAGACACTGAAGAACACCAGCAAGATCAATGCGTTTCAGGTTCAGTTGTAAGGCGTGGACTAGTTGGGAAGTTGGCAGAACAGGATAATCAGCTAAAGAAGAACGTTTTGTAAAGACAGCAAAACAGTAAAACCTAGTAAGTTTGAAATGATATGGACTTTGGGAAGAAAAGGAAAGACACTGAATGACACTTGAACTGAATCTTACTATATGGGACACAGAATACTCACTTATCTCCATATTTTTTATGTGTGTGTGGGAGAGAGAAAAAATAAATTGCATGTGAAACGTGATGGGGTTTAATGTTCACAAATCCTCTATCAGTTTGACAACCTCTTGTTTCATTTATTGTTATACTATGTTATTATGTAAAACAATGGATGAAATTTGATAAGTGGTTTTATACACTTACAAGGAACGTTTTTGTGAATTGTGTGGCAAATGCCTCAAAATATATTTAGTTGCATTACATTGTTACAGTTGTACAATGTCAGATTACTCCATTCAGATATTATGCTGGTGCCACCAAAATAGTTTTGGAATTTGTATCTCTTTATTCAGTTTGTGTGATTCTGTATGTGTAATGTGTGAATGTAGTCCTAATACTTTAAGAAAGTATTCTGAGTCTGAAAAAGTTTACCATGGTAAAGGTTGTCATTTAGATGAGTTAATCTGTAAAATCCACTTACAAATCTATTGTTTTAAATAGTTAATGGATGACCGTGCTGTGTGGTCCATGAGCAGACTATAGAGTGAAAAGAGTTTAAAACACTGCCTGTCTCAAGTGAGTCAGGTGTCAGTGCTGTTTAAGGTGTACTGTATATTGAGAATACTTACATAATATAAACAAATTATCAAATTAATCAAATTGATTGAATAAGACAACTTGACTATGTGAATTAATTGATTCATATATTATAGTTTTTGATTGTTATTGATGTATAGAAAATACGGTTTCTCCACTGAAAGGAATGGTCAATTAGGGACAAACAAAATTTAAGGATTTATGGCTTCCCAGACCTTTTTCTATAACCTTGTAATTCTTTGCACTTTAGGGACTTTAAAGTTATCTGTAGCAAATGCCAACTGGTTACCCATCATGTTTTGCATGGCATACAGATTTCTAAATGTTTTAATGATCAAACTTCTGTGCGCCATGAGCATTAATTTTTGAAGGTAATCTTTACTTTAGGCAGTGGTACATGACTGAAAGAGAATAAACTACAATACTTAATCTGGCCCAACTGCATATAATTCATATTTTGATCTTTGTCTATGTCTGTGATATGCCATGCTGAACAGTGTAATAATTAATTTGTTCCTCATAATTGCCTTTTAAGATTGACAATATGTTTTCAGAGAGAAAGGAAATAACTGTTATATGAATCCTGTGTTATGCTATTCATACACAACTGCCATTTCAGAGGTAGCTATAACCTACGACTTTATTTAATTTTCACCAGTGAACTGTCTTTTGTTTGAATAATTTTGAGATGACAGAATGCAAATGCAAATCGTAGGTGAACACATTTTAATAGTGTAGTTCTAAAAATTAAACTAATTCTACTATTTATTTTGTTAATGTTGGGCATAACAAACTCTATGAAAATGTTTTGCACAAGGTGTGCAGTATAAAACCAGCGATACATCTGATTTACTGAATACATCTGAATTACTGCACTATTGGAGCTAGAAACACAAGCATTTCGCTGCACCTGCGATAACATCTGCAAAATATGTGTAAAATTACTGTTGTATAATTTTGGATCATGGCATTCTCTGCCAAATATTAATAAATGCTTACTGAACACTGCCCATGTGTTATTTTATTGTGTACCACTATGACTCTTGACTTAATGATGTCTTTGTTCTTATGTGATTTATACCAATCACTTGTCCCTTCTCCACACCATATTCCTTTGCATAAGCATTATGGTAACAGCTCTAGCCAGGCTTCCAAAGATCTAAAATCATGGATATATGGAGCTTCTGCCTTATTTCACACCTCTGGGTACAGCTCATGTGGGAGTAGAGGGGATTGAGGTGGATGTTCTCGTCCTAATGTTGACATGGAAATGTCAATTAGTAAAGCAGAAGCCAAGAGGTTAATAAGAACAGTGGTTAAAAACAAATGGTCTCAACTGGTAAAAGCAAAACAACCTATGTGTGTTCATGAGAATCTCTCCTTTCAATAGAGGGGTCATATTAGTGTGTAGCCCAAACCGTTCAGACGCTACAGCCGATTTTCAGGATGTCTCATGGTCTGACAAACACTGCTGTAGCTCTGCCACCTTTCACCGCAGATGAGGAAACCCGACATAGGCGGATTTAATGGATTGAGACGCAGCCCATGCAAAAAGACATCTCTAGTTTAAACAGATGGATTTCTATGGGGATTTTTTTATTGTGCTTATTGGATATCTGCAGGGCATGGACATCGACTCTAGGGGGTTTAATGGGTAGGGTTCAGAGTAGACCTTCCCTGTCTCTTTTCCACTCTACAGTCCAGTTGACGGCGGTAATGCACATTTAAAGTTGGTTGCCAACCACCATATAAAATCCACAGAAGAAGAAAAATCTGGGCTAGTAGCCACCTCCATTCCGCCAGCAATAATAAGCAAGACCTAGCAAGAATAAGGACGTGACCTCTGTGATTTCCCTTCAAAATAAAGGTCCACCATTGAAAATGTAAAAATAATTATAAATTGTCCAAATTATTATTATTATTTATTTTTATTTTTTAGGGGGTAGATCAGCTTTAATATTGCAGATAGATTGTAACTTCCATCAATGTAATTGTCTGCATCACTTCCAATCCTCCATATGTTTTTTCCCCCTCGCAAATATATATATAAATTGTCCAAATGTTTAACATTTTATGAGGAAATGTTAGCAGACCTAGACTTTTGTTTAACAATATGAAAAAGGAAAAAAGTTAATTGCCTTTATAGCACAAATAATATTATAGCATTGACATTATTGTTAGCAGCATTAAAAGTAATGATTACTAGGTAGTTATCATGGTAACAACAGTAATAAAATAACAAATAATGCTACTATTAATAATAATAGTAATAACAATATTAATAATAATATTATTATAATTATAATAACAAACATTAGAAAACACTTTTAAATCGAATTGTTAATTAGCCCATTCATATTGCACAATGTTCAATACGTTTTTCATATTGGACACAGCGCTTGACTTGGGCAGGAGCTCACCAGAGCTGAGTACTGATACCTCAAATGTTCTACAGCTTGAGCTGCTGTTCCTCTTGTAGAATATTAGCGTATTGTGGAGGTCCTGCACCTACAGTTGAAGTCGGAAGTTTATATACACCTTAGCCAAATACATTTAAACTCAGTTTTTCACAATTCCTGACATTTAATCCTAGTAAAAATACCCTGTTTTAGGTCAGTTAGGATCACCACTTTATTTTAAGAACGTGAAATGTCAGAATAATAGTAGAGAGAATGATTTATTTCAGCTTTTATTTCTTTCATCACATTCCCAGTGGGTCAGAAGTTTACATACACTCAATTAGTATTTGGTAGCATTACCTTTAAATTGTTTAACTTGGGTCAAACGTTTCGGGTAGCCTTCCACAAGCTTCCCACAATAAGTTGGGTGAATTTTGGCCCATTCCTCCTGACAGAGCTGGTGTAACTGAGTCAGGTTTGTAGGCCTCCTTGCTCGCACACGCTTTTTCAGTTCTGCCCACACATTTCTATAGGATTGAGGTCAGGGCTTTGTGATGGCCACTCCAATACCTTGACTTCGTTGTCCTTAAGCCATTTTGCCACAACTTTGGAATTGGATGCTTGGGGTCATTGTTCATTTGGAAGACCCATTTGTGACCAAGCTTTAACTTCCTGACTGATGTCTTGAGATGTTGCTTCAATATATTCACATAATTTTCCTTCCTCATGATGCCATCTATTTTGTGAAGTGCACCAGTCCCTCCTGCAGCAAAGCACCCCCACAGCATGATGCTGCCACCCCTGTGCTTCACGGTTGGGATGGTGTTATTCGGCTTGCAAGCGACCCCCTTTTTCCTCCAAACATAACGATGGTCATTATGGCCAAACAGTTCTATTTTGTTTCATCAGACCAGAGGACATTTCTCCAAAAAGTACGATCTTTGTCCCCATGTGCAGTTGCAAACTGTAGTCTGGCTTTTTTATGGCGGTTTTGGAGCAGTGGCTTCTTCCTTGCTGAGCAGCCTTTCAGGTTACGTCGATATAGGACTTGTTTTACTGTGGATATAGATACTTTTGTACCTGTTTCCTCCAGCATCTTCACAAGGTCCTTTGCTGTTGTTCTGGTATTGATTTGCACTTTTTGCACCAAAGTACGTTCATCTCTAGGAGACAGGCCTTGAAATACATCCACAGGTACACCTCCAATTGACTCAAATGATGTCAATTAGCCTATCAGAAACTTCTAAAGCCATGAAATAATTTTCTGGAATTTTCCAAGCTGTTTAAAGGCACCGTCAACTTAGTGTATGTAAACTTCTGACCCACTGGAATTGTGATACAGTGAATTATAAGTGAAATAATCTGTCTGTAAACAATTGTTGGAAAGATTACTTGTGTCATGCACAAAGTAGATGTCCTAACCGACTTGCCAAAACTATAGTTTGTTAACAAGACATTTGTGGAGTGGTTGAAAAACGAGTTTTAATGACTCCAACCTTAAGTGTATGTAAACTTCCGACTTCAACTGTAAATATACACAGGTCCGGCACCCAAAATGAGTAATGGCACCTATCTCAGTCCAAGTCAAGCACTGATTGGACATACATATTGCACCATACACAATTTCCTGTACAATGTGTCGCAGTAAAAGGGGGGTCCATTCTACTCAGGAGCACCTCTAGTTTCCAAATCCACAAAGTTTACAACCCAAGGAGCATCACTTCTCATTCTGCGGCCCTTAACCTCTACGGAATCGGTGTCCTGTATACGGGACGGTTGAGCTAACGTGCGCTAATGTGATTAGCATGACTGTTGTAAGTAACAGCAAACTTTCCAGGACATAGACATGTCTTACATGGGCAGAAAGCTTACATTATTGTTAATCTAACTGCACTATCTAATTTTCAGTAGCTATTACAGTGAAAAAATACCATGCTATTGCTTGAGGAGAGTGCGCAACAACAAAAAACTTTTCACGGCAACTGGTTTGATGCATTCACCTCTGAAGGTAAATAATGTACTTACATTCAGTAATCTTGCTCTGATTTGTCATCCTAAGGGTCTCAGAGATAAAATTTAGCTTAGTTTTGTTTGATAAAATTCATTTTTATATTCAAATGTAGGAACTGGGTTCTACAGTTTGAACCCCTGCTGTCTCTGGCTCCACATCCACCCCGCCCGGCAATCTAGATGTGTGAAAGTTAGTGTATAAGATAATAATCCATCATGTATGACATTCCTGGGAGTGTGTAAACTTCAATTTTGTATTACCATATAATTTTTGTATGTTCTCTATAGTTATGTATTTGAAAATGTATCAATTGACCAATTTGGCACATTTGGGCAGACTTGATACAAAATAGTCGTATCACTGGATCAATCTGAAACTTTGCACACACGCCTAAACTGCAATATTACATTGTGGCCTTTCTCTTGCATTTCAAAGATGATAAAAACACATGTTTTTTTTGTTTGTATTATCTTGTACCAGATCTAATGTGTTATATTCTCCTACATTAATTTCACATTTCCACAAACTTCAAAGTGTTTCCTTTCAAATGTTATCAAGAATATGCGTATCCTTGCTTCAGGTCCTGAGCTACAGGCAGTTAGATTTGGGTATGTCATTTTAGGCGAAAATTGAAAAAAAGGGTCAGATCCTTAAGAGGTTAAAGAGTGTTAAGAGGTTTTTTCAGCTGAAATCCAATCCTTTTTTTATATTGGACACACATATTACTCCGTACACAATTTTCTGTACGTTGTGTCGCAGTAAAACAGGGTCCATTCTACTCAGAATCACTTCTACTTCCCAAATCCACAGAGTTTACACCAAATCCACAGAGTTTACACCCCTCTATGTTTACACACACACAGAGGAGCATCACTGCTAATTTTGCGGCCCTTAAAGAGTGGCCAATCAGCTTAAATCCAATAGTTTTTTTCATATTTGACATTCATATTGCACCGTACACAATTTTCTGTGTGTTGTGTCGCAGTAAAAGGGGGATCCATTCTAATCAGGAGCACTTCTAATTTCCAAATCTACGGAGTTTACACTCAGAGGAGCGTCACTGCTCATTTTGTGGCCCTTAAAGAGTATGGTGCAATATGTATGTTCAATATGCAGCCCTTACAATTCTTAAAAGTCTAAGAAGGGGGGGACCCCTTTAGGTATAAAAATATTATTTGATAAAATATTTAATTTGGCCTTTACTACTATAGCCCATAGAAACGCATTGAATAACACATTCATAAAAGGCAAAAAAGACAGTCAAAAATGTTATCATAAGGAATAAGGTTTTGAAGTGTCTGATTTGTTTAACCTTTTTTTGGTTACTACATGATTCCATATGGGTTATTTCATAGTGTTGATGTCTTCACTATTATTATACAATGTAAAAAATAGTAAAAATAAAGAAAAACCCTTGAATGAGTAGGTGTGTCCAAACTTTTGGCTGGTAGTGTATATATATATATATATATATATATATATATATATATATAGATACATTATAATGATATATATTTTGTACACATATTTAACCCCTTATTTTTTGTTGCCACAAAAATACCTACATACTTCCATTCATTTGAATGGGTTACCTTTATAGGAGTCCTGTGACAGTTGTGGGGGTCATAGAGCAAAACTGAGAACACCATCCATGTTCGTGAGAGTCTCCCCTTTCTACAGAGTGGTCATATTAGTTAGTAGTTCTATATAAACAAATAAATCACATAATTTCTTATAGAAATACTTTTGCATTTTTTTTGTATGATAACTAGTATAAAACATATCGATAATTGTGCACATTTCCATAATTTCTCCCCTAATTATTAATCTACAAAGTATACCGGATGGGACTCTTATTCTGAAGGATTCCAAAAATTCATGACCCGGAAGTACTCAGTTATTATTGCCTGCTTCACAGCGGTGAAGGAGCTTGCGGAAATTAGCTATTTTTCTAGCTAGGTAGCTGAATAGCTAGATAAACAAGCAATTATATATTTTTTCGTGACTTGTGTTTGTATAACGATATATTACAGATATAGTTTAATGCAGATTTAACTAACTACCTTATACGACTTAATTAATGCTCGTTATATTCAAATAATCGGTGTCCACAGGGCTGCTGTCCCGAAGAGTAGCTAGCTGGCTAGGTAGCTAGCTTATGTTGTTTATATTAGTGCGAGAACGAGGGAGCAACTGAGACATGGAATGCAACGGTCGCAGAGTTAGATACAGTAGCTAGCCAATTTACTCGGTTTCAAAGGTAAGTTCGATGGCTAACGTAATCTAATTACTAGAAGTGTTATCATAATCTAACTTCATATTTAACACAAACCGATTGTGCTGTGTTGACCGGTTTAGTAGTTGTTAACGTTTAGCTAGCTAACATTCATTCACAGTCAAGTTCCCCAGTATCGGACTAAACCACGGTGGAGTTTAGTCTGCTAGGTCCCCAGCTACTGAGCTAGCCAGCTAGTATGGGTATGCCCCATGTTCATAGTTAACAATGTTACATTCACGATTACACACAAGCATATACGTTATCAGTCATTCAGAAGTACCTGTCTGCTGTGATTGCTTTTTGTTGTCCACACAATCTGGAATCGCTAGCTATCTATCTATGATCTGTCAATTCATTTGCTAGGCATATATTAAAACAAATAGTCTTTACACTCTCCTGGCTAAGATGACATATAACGGTACCAAACTGTGTATGTATTATGGCTTTTCTCTTCCAGCTTGGTAGCAGCAGACATCTGCCAGGCTGTAAGAAATTAGCAGTTTGGAATTTTGAGGCCAGGGATGAGAATTTGACATAAGTTCGACTGGAATCAGTTTCACTATCTTCGTCGTCATGGCTTGGGCTCTGAAGTTGCCGCTCACTGATGAGGTGATTGAATCAGGTCTGGTCCAGGACTTCGATGCCAGTCTCTCTGGCATTGGACAGGAGCTTGGAGCTGGGGCATACAGTATGAGGTATGAATCATCATTGGAAGTCTATTGAAATGCATTGATATGTTAGAATTGAAATAAATATTACCAAAGATTTTTATAACTAACCCAAGATAGACCAGAGCCTGTCGTTTCCAATGGGAGCAAATTAATCATAGTGGACAGAACAAGCAAGGAGGTAGGCAGAGCCAAGCACAAGCTAGTGAGAGACTATTGGCGCGTTGTAGCATTTGTTTGCGTATTTCCATTAGGGAACGCTACTGTGTGAAGTGCGCGTGTGCAATAACTAAATTCGCCCTCGCACTCCTAAACAACGCAGTTTTTAAAAACTTTGGCAAAGGGTGAAGTCTACAAAACACAGTCCAGTCTGTTTGTTACATATTCTAGTTTTGCAAACAGAAAACTGTATGGAGATCAAATGATTAATCGATGAGAAAATGTGCAGAATGTCTGCCAAAATCACTCTCGCTCCATCTTCTCCCACTGCCAGCCACTGGCCTTCCTCTCATCACCATATTTGGTAGTGAGTGGAAACGCCAACCGGATGCTTCACATTTATACATCTGGTGAAATATCTGGCTCATTGTTCTATCAACCGGATGCTTCACATTTATACATCTGGTGAAATATCTGGCTCATTGTTCTATCTGTGATATGACTTTGGCTTTGTCAGTGGGAGAAAAAAACCCGGTATTATTTGTCTTGAGGAGTAGCCTATTCTAGAATACAGTGAGGGAAAAAAGTATTTGGATCCCCTGCTGATTTTGTACGTTTGCCCACTGACAAAGACATAAATAATAAATAATATGCCATTTAGCAGACGCTTTTATCCAAAGCGACTTACAGTTATGCGTGCATAAATTTTTTGTGTATGGGTGGTCCCGGGGATCGAACCCTCTACCTTGACATTACATGGGCCGTGCTCTACCAGCTGAGCTACAGAAGACCACCAAATGATCAGTCTATACTTTTTATGGTAGGTTTATTTGAACAGTGAGAGACAGAAGAACAACAACAAAAATCCAGAAAAACGCATGTCAAAAATGTTATAAATTGATTTGCATTTTAATGAGGGAAATACGATTTTTGACCCCCTCTCAATCAGAAAGATTTCTGGCTCCCAGGTGTCTTTTATACAGGTAACGAGCTGAGATTAGGAGCACACTCTTAAAGGGAGTGCTCCTAATCTCAGCTTGTTACCTGTATAAAAGACACCTGTCCACAGAAGCAATCAATCAATCAGATTCCAAACTCTCCACCATGGCCAAGACCAAAGAGCTCTCCAAGGATGTCAGGGACAATATTGTAGACCTACACAAGGCTGGAATGGGCTACAAGACCATTGCCAAGCAGCTTGGTGAGAAGGTGACAACAGTTGGTGCGATTATTCTCAAATGGAAGAAACACAAAAGATCTGTCAATCTCCCTCGGCCTGGGGCTCCATGCAAGATCTCCCCTCGTGGAGTTGCAATGATCATGAGAACGGTGAGGAATCAGCCCAGAACTACACGGGAGGATCTTGTCAATGATCTCAAGGCAGCTGGGACCATAGTCACCAAGAAAACAATTGGTAACACACTACGCTGTGAAGGACTGAAATCCTGCAGCGCCCGCAAGGTCCCCCTGCTCAAGAAAGCACATTTACAGGCCCGTCTGAAGTTTGCCAATGAACATCTGAATGATTCAGAGGAGAACTGGGTAAAAGTGTTGTGGTCAGATGAGACCAAAATCGAGCTCTTTGGCATCAACTTAACTCGCCGTGTTTGGAGGAGGAGGAATGCTGCCTATGACCCCAAGAACACCATCCCCACCATCAAACATGTAGGTGGAAACATTATGCTTTGGGGGTGTTTTTCTGCTAAGGGGACAGGACAACTTCACCACATCAAAGGGATGATGGACAGCGCCATTTACTGTCAAATCTTGGGTGAGAACCTCCTTCCCTCAGCCAGGGCATTGAAAATGGGTCGTGGATGGGTATTCCAGCATGACAATGATTCAAAACACACCGCCAAGGCAACAAAGGAGTGGCTGAAGAAGAAGCACATTAAGGTCCTGGAGTGGCCTAGCCAGTCTCCAGACCTTAATCCCATAGAAATTCTGTGGAGGGAGCTGAAGGTTTGAGTTGCCAAACGTCAGCCTCGAAACCTTAATAACTTGGAGAAGATCTGCAAAGAGGAGTGGGACAAAATCCCTCCTGAGATGTGTGCAAACCTGGTGGCCAACTACAAGAAACGTCTGACCTCTGTGATTGCCAACAAGGGTTTTGCCACCAAGTACTAAGTCATTTTTTTTGCAGAGGGGTCAAATACTTATTTCCCTTATTAAAATGCAAATCAATTCATAACATTTTTGACATGCGTTTTTCTGGATTTTTTTGTTGTTATTCTGTCTCACTGTTCAAATAAACCTACCATGAAAATTATAGACTGATCATGTCTTTGTCAGTGGGCAAACGTACAAAATAAGCAGGGGATCAAATACTTTTCCCCCTCACTGTAGGCCCTATCATCTGTATCAGTTAGCCTATAAAGAGATGGTGGCTGTCGCTCTCTAGCTGTTTTTCCTAGTGTGTTTTCAGTGAAGCGAGAGCGTCAGCCAAAGAACCTATTAATATTGAAGCTGTAACGTTGGTTAAGGAATGCATCCCTCAGGTGGAAACAGCCTACTATTTACTTTATGTGTATTCCATTCTGGAATAGAATGCATTTAGAATGTATCATATTCTCAATGTTGCTCAATTGTCTCTCCCATACTACAGTTTATCATTTGCCTACTTTCTGTGTTAGTGGACAGTGCAGCTTCTGAAAATATTTCTTGGTGGTGGTGTGTATGTCCAAAGGTGTTTTGTGTGTTTTCGTGAACACATCACACACACATTTAGTTTTTTTGCTACTAATTCACATGAGTTAGGCTGCATTCATCATGCATAGGCCTAACCTTCCGTCAGTTCTCTCTTGAGGGTTGTTCTTATGCCAGAAAAGAGTAGGCCTTATTCTCAGTCAAACTTGGGAATTTGCAGAGTCAGGAACAGTTTTTGTGTAAGGGATACAGCTCTCTCTTTCAGACTGCTCTTTTGTTAGTTTTGTAAGTGTTCTGTTACATGATACTAAAGTGCCTGCAAAGTGCCTTATTGTCAGTGACATTCTAATGTTGCGCAGGAGGATGAGATACCCAGGCTGGATACCGAGGTAGTTGATTGTTCTGCACAAGTTTTTACCATCATAACTAATTAACTGTAAAGAAAGAGAATGTTGTAAATCACTTCTCCTTTTTCCAGTGGCTCCTAGTGATATATTTATTTACGCCTACATTTATTGGATGGGTAACAGAATTTACAAAGGAGTTTATTTTAAGAAATTCGCCTCCTCCCTCAGTCTCATACTGGGGAGATCCAAGGCCTGTTGAGTTGTTGTTTCAGACAGATGTTGATACTATGCCAATATCATGTGCTTGTAAAAGACGTTGGCTTGCCAGTTCATTGACCATGTTGTCTTGTGGCTTTTTCTCCAGTGATGTGCTGGCCCTCCCCATCTTTAAGCAGGAGGAGTCCAACCTGCCGCCTGACAGTGAGAACAAGATTCTTCCTTTCCAGTATGTTCTGTGTGCAGCTACCTCGCCTGCCATCAAACTGCACGATGAAACACTTACCTACCTCAACCAAGGTTAGCATCTGTCTGTGTTCCATTTTCATGATTGTGATTTTCTTGTGAATTTGTTGCTAATTTAAAGAAATTGTCAGAAAATGATGTGGTATGTTTATGAACTAAAGCTTAGTTCTTTTGATTTCAGGACAGTCTTATGAAATTCGAATGCTTGACAATCGGAAAATGGGTGAACTCCCAGAAATCACTGGCAAAATGGTGAAGGTAAGATGAACAAGAACACAATGAGTCATGACCAAAGGCATGAGAGTGAGTATTTGTTTGTCTGGGCCTGTTCCTATGCCATAATTTCCCATGTATTCTACCAATAGTGCAGGTACTTCCTGGTTCCTCAGTGATGTTTCTGTGTGTCCTCAGAGCATCATCCGAGTGGTCTTCCATGACCGGCGTCTTCAGTACACAGAGCACCAGCAGCTGGAGGGCTGGCGCTGGAACAGGCCTGGAGACCGCATCCTCGACCTGGGTAAGCTCTCTGCCTCTGTCTTGGAAGGGTATTGGACCACTCTGGGTGAAGAAGGACTGAAGGGGGCTGCTTTTAAGACTCTGGCACTGAAATTGCTTTAAATAACACAGAGCTATATCTTCACTGAATGAAATTATGGTTGACAACAGGCTGCATAACGTGTAGTTAGTTTGCTCACACAATCCTTCTGATAACTTGTCTCGCGTTGCTCCATTGCAGATATCCCTATGTCAGTTGGCATGGTCGACCCCAGGGCTAACCCTACTCAGCTTAACACGGTGGAGTTCCTGTGGGACCCGTCAAAAAGAACCTCGGTTTTTATCCAGGTAGCATGATAAACACAACCTCATGGTTGTTTTCATAATGCTGGTTGTAGCTTATCATCTAATATCAGGCCAAGGCTGTCTTAATGGAAACAAATGGTTTTCAAGACAAATAGAGCTCTCTCTCTGTTTTTTATTGAATAAAACAACATCCACCAGTTTTCAAATAGTCATGACAATTCCTTGTTTTAGGTTCACTGCATCAGCACAGAGTTCACCATGCGGAAGCACGGGGGAGAGAAGGGCGTGCCTTTTCGCATCCAGATTGACACTTTCAAAGAGAACGATGGTGAAGAGTATACAGAGCACCAGCATTCTGCCAGCTGTCAGGTCAAAGTCTTCAAGGTGAGAAGAAAGTCTGAGCAAAAACAATGAAAATGGGTTAACTTTTGTCATTGAAAGGTACGTTAGATGTTAGCTTCATTTGATCCTCGTCATTGTACTATCCATAATAAACATAACGACTTTACCTCACCTGTGGCAGCCTAAAGGTGCAGACAGGAAGCAGAAGACAGACAGAGAGAAGATGGAGAAGAGGGCGCCTCAGGAGAAGGAGAAATACCAGCCATCCTATGAAACCACCATCCTAACAGAGGTTAGAGTTAGTGTGTTGAGTGAATGGGAAAAGGGATGGAGGAAACTGTTGGATATGGAGAGGAAGGTGTGTGGCAGTAGTCAGTATGTCTAAGTGATGAAGAAACATGAACAAAATGATGCATAGTATTTGTATAAATAATTTCATCATAATGTATAGAAATGATGTACAACACAGGATTTATTTCTGAAATCAAGAACTAACATCTGGAGAGAGCTGGATTATGTAAAGAGCCTAGTTCCCTCCCTACTAAAATAACAGAAATGTTCTCTTGCAGTGCTCTCCCTGGCCAGAGGTCACCTATGTCAATAACTCCCCATCGCCTGGCTTCAACAGCTCACACAACAGTTTTCCAGTGGCAGAGGGGTAGGGATCAGGACATAAACATGCAGCCTGTTCTGAACCACACTGCTTCCATTACAAATTGTTAATTTTGGTGTATATGTCTATTTATGAAATATTATGGGGATGCAATGCCTAATACAACAGTTTTTTTGTTCTATTTGGGAATTTCTGTCTGTTTTCCATCTACTCCCAAAAGTACATTTTAAAGTACCTTTTCTCTGTCCTTCCCAGAAATGGATCCCCCGGTCACCAGCCAGAGCCAGTTGTTCAGGTGGCAGATGTAAGTACTTGTGTCCCTTCCCCTTGTGTGTCCTAAACCTACCCATGGCTCATCATCTCCTGTTCCATCCCTTCTCACTAACCCCCACATCTACATGTTTAATGTCCAGCTTCTTTCACATAACTGAAGTTGACACATTGTGGTCATGCTTTGAGTTCATGTTTTGCATTTGCTGTTGGCAGCAGCACTAGTGAAATACTGTAAAAAAAGTGTCTGTAGTGGGAGATTCAACTAAACTGAAAAAATTAGGCTGAGAATTACTTTGCAGTCATTACACATTGTTTTATTTTCAAAGCAACACACACTTTAACATGACATCATCATTAGGTTTTCGCATGAGAGAGCTGTCCATTTGTGTACCCGTTTTCCATTGATCACATTTGCATGTAGTCAAACATATTTAACAAAATAATGAATATACAGTACCAGTCAAAAGTTTGGACACACCTAATCATTCAAGGGTTTTTCTTTATTTTTACTATTTTCTAAATTGTAGAATAATAGTGAAGACATCAAAACTATGAAATAACACATGGAATCATGTAGTAACCAAAAAAGTGTTAAACAAATCAAAATATATTTTATATTTGAGTTTCTTCAAAGTAGCCACCCTTTGCCTTGATGACAGCTTTGCACACACTTGGTATTCTCAACTAGCTTCTCCTGGAAGGAGTTTCCACATATGCTGAGCACTTGTTGGCTGCTTTTCCTTCACTTGTGGAGGCCAGGTCATCTGATGCAGCACTCCATCACTCTTCTTCTTGGTCAAATAGCCCTTACGCAGCCTGGAGGTGTGTTTGGTCATTGTCCTGTTGAAAAACAAATGATAGTCCCACTAAGCGCAAACCAGATGGGATGGAGTATCGCTGCAGAATGCTGTGGTAGCCATGCTGGTTAAATGTGCCTTGAATTCTAAATAAATCACTGACAGTGTCACCAGCAAAGCACGCCCACACCATCACACCACCTCCTCCATGCTTCACGGTGGGAACCACACATGCGGAGATCATCCGTTCACCTACTCTGCGTCTCACAAAGACACTGCGGTTGGAACCAAAAATCTCAAATTTGGACTGATCAGACCAAAGGACAGATTTCCACCGGTCTAATGTCCATTGCTCGTGTTTCTTGCCCCAAGCAAGTCTCTTCTTATTATTGGTGTCCTTTAGTAGTGGTTTCTTTGCAGCAATTCGACCATGAAGGCCTGATTCACACAGTCGCCTCTGAACAGTTGATGTTGAGATGTGTCTGTTACTTGAACTCTGTGAAGCATTTACTTGGGCTGCAATGTCTGAGGCTGGTAACTCTAATGAACTTATCCTCTGCAGCAGAGGTAACTCTGGGTCTTACTTTCCTGTGGCGGTCCTCATGAGAGCCAGTTTCGTCATAGCGCTTGATGGTTTTTGCGACTGCACTTGAAGAAACGTTCAAAGTTCTTGACATTTTCCGTATTGACCTTCATGTCTTAAAGTAATGATGGACTGTCGTTTCTCTTTGCTTATTTGAGCTGTTCTTGCCATAATATGGACTTGGTATTTTATCAAATAGGGCTATCTTCTGTATACCACCCCTACCTTGTTACAACACAACTGATTGGCTCAAACGCATGAAGAAGGAAAGAAATTCCACAAATTAACTTTTAACAAGGCACACTTGTTAATTGAAATGCATTCCAGGTGACTACCTCATGAAGCTGGTTGAGAGAATGCCAAGAGTGTGCAAAGCTGTCATCAAGGCAACGTGTGGCTACTTTGAAGAATCTCAAATATAAAATATATTTGGATTTGTTTAACACTTTTTTGGTTACTACACGATTCCATATGTGTTATTTCATAGTTTTGATGTCTTCGCTATTATTCTACAATGTATAAAATAGTAAAAAATTAAGAAAAACCCTGGAATGAGTAGGTGTGTCCAAACTTTTGACTGGTACTGTATATGGCAATACTGTTTTGTACTTTTCTGAATTGGTTATCTTTCTGAAATTCTTTGGGAAAAGTAATGGGGATGCATGGAAAAGTCGCGTCAGATTTGGGTTAGAATACCAGACTACTTTATAAGAACCTGCAGAATGAGAAATGTCATAAAAAAAGTTGGATAGGTCCATTTGCTTTGACTAGTGCAAGCGTTGTGATTTCACATTCATATGTACCTAGATCCCAGTTATTAATACATAGGTAAAACATGCCCTTTGTTTTTCGGTCCATCAAAGTAACCATTTAACTGATGCAGTAGACTATCGTCCTCCATAAATAATCTGTTGTATGACGCACATCCCAAATGATTAATATGGTTAATAGATGGAAACAGACATCCATGTCCCTGCACCTATAAGTTCCGTTTTATAAAGGGTGTGTACACCTTTTCTCCCTTCTTTCTCCCGCATTGTTATCCAATATAGATTGAAAGCTGTCTGACTGATACGATTGTAAGTTTCCAACATTTTCTAAATGTCTGACTCTGATTAAAGATGCAGACTTTATGGTTTAGACAGACTCAAACAGAATGTGGGAGTGTGCAATATTCACTGATGTATAATATATCATCTTTAAATTATTGATTGCACTTATTAACCCTATTACTTGCTGTCTGATAATGCTGATAAGTATGTATCCAGTTGTTTTGGGTAGTTTGTAATCATTTTTAGGCAGCAACATCTACCTTAACACTCCCTAAGGCCCTCTTGAATTTTTGACATCACAAATAAGTGGTGTCTGTGTCAAAGAAGACTGTAATACTAGCCTGAGTGCCAATCTGTTTGTGCCTTCATGCAAACGCTTTGTCACTCATTGGCAATTGAGTTGGCAAGAGCACAAACAATTCTGGGACCAGGCTACCTTAATACTCCAAACACTTGTACCAGCATTTATAACATCACCTCTACATGATGTACGTAATAGTCATGTAAACTAGTTTTGAAATAAATGCAGCGCAGAGTGTTTATAGCAATAGGATGTATTTTGACAATAGCCTCACTGTTTGCACTGTCAATATCACCCCCTGTGTTTTACCCCCATTTTAGACAGGAATACATAAGCAAGGTTTTTGGGGGCTTGGGGAGGTTTTGATATATGATGATAAAATATAATTTAAAAATTGAGAGACATTCTGCCTTACAGTTGTCGTCCCATCTACTTACAAGAGACAGTGAAAGTGTCCATCAGGTATATATTAATTTATTTGATGATTTTGTAGTTTGAATGTTGAATTGTTTTGCCTTTTTTAAAGCAAAGGTTGGATATATATTGCACACACTTCTTCTCTGACCAGGCGCCGAACATATCTGTTTGCGTGTATGTGTAGAACAATTGAACAAGAAGACAAACTATTTTTATTTGATTCATTCTTTGTGTGTTTCTGTGCAGAAGTGGATAACTGCTACAGTGGTATTCTATCTACTCGGACATTGTACTGGATCTTTATTCCTTCTTTCAGCATGTTGTGGGATGGGTTAGCTCAGAGAAATGGCTCATACCTGGCTGTATATATCTGACCTTACAGTGGAATTGATTGTATGCTTTTAAAACCAATCCAAGGTTTAACAACATCATTTGATGGCTTTTGCGGTGCCTGTCTGTCTCTCTTTTGGAACAAACAGAATCTGTTACCCGCGGCAACACCACAGGATGCTCAGCTGTGGCTCCATAGAAACCGCTTTTCACCATTCTGTCGGCTCTTCACTAATTTCTCTGGTAAGAAGGTCAATATATCATTTCTTGCAGTGAATTTATATTCTCAACTTTGTTGTCATGTTGTGGAAGTCAGTCTAAAATAATATCTATATTCTTTACGAGTATTAGGCTGATTATTCTATGTTCCAGGGGCGGATCTGTTGAAGCTGACCAGGGAAGATGTTATTCAGATCTGTGGGCCAGCAGATGGTATTAGGCTGTTCAACGCACTGAAAGGACGGTTGGTGTACTTCCTTACCACTCTACTTCTATATTGCAGCATTCATACTGCAAAATGGAAATGCCTATTGAATTTGATCAATTATTGAGTGTGAGAAGTTTCTCGTGTCATCTTATTTCTGTGTGTGCGCGTAGAGTGGTACGTCCCAGGCTGACGGTGTATGTATGCCAGGAGTCCCAGCAGGCTCGGGAACAGCAGCAGAAACAGAACGGAGACACAGCTAGCAGCACTTTTTTCGGTATGCTTGTGTGTGTGTTATCTATATACAAAGCATTCATAACACATGCTTACTTACTTATGGCGGCGCAATTCGCCAAATGATGGCATAATGATATCTCTGATGTTATGGCATAATACACTGTTAGCTACATACGGTGTTATGAAAATGATTGACAATATATCCCTGTACACGTCTTGTCTTCTTTTGCAGTGTACCATGCCATCTACCTGGAGGACTTGACAGCAGTTGAGCTGACCGAGAAGATCGCTCAGCTATTCAACATCTCACCCAGACAGATCAGTCAGATCTTTAAACAGGGACCCACTGGTATACATGTCCTGGTCAGTGATGAGGTAAGGCTGTCTTTAGTCTACATTTGTGCGTCCGAAAAGGCACCCTATTCCTATGTTGTGCACTAGTTTTGCTCAGAGTCTCAAAAGTGGTGCTCTACTGAATAGGGTCGGATTTTAGACACAGCCTTTGTTCCTGGATCAGTCTGCCTTAAGGCTGAGTCCTAATGTGTACACTGTTCCTGGCCTCTAAGATGGAATCTCTTGTTTCTCACAGATGATTCAAAACTTCCAGGATGAAGTATGTTTTGTTTTGGACACAATGAAAGGTATGAGAGCGTCATTCAAGCATTTTCTTTTACCACAAATATTGGGGAGTATGTCTTTGGTGTCACCCTTCATGACTTGGGCTCTGTTTCTTTACCAACAGCCGAGACGAATGACGGCTACCACATCATCCTAAAATGAAGACTGTCTGGGGGATTGCCTAACCCCTACTCTGTCCTTTAGACCCAACCCTGAAAGCCCCTCTACAGCCTCGGCTCCTGATGTTCCTGGACTGTGCTGAAGATGACCTGTTCCATTCTCTAGAGGCCTCTGCTATGGGGAATGTTTGACTGAAGCACCTTGCCCATCCTTGATACCTTACTGTCTTTTTTAAAGGAGTGACTGACTCTATTTGAGCTGCCATATTGAAGCAACACTCTCCAGCCTCCTCCCCTGCTAGAAACCCTTTTAAAACGGTTGCATTTTCCTGCTTTGCTGATCATGTGTTTGAAAAAGAGAATGGAACGGGATCCACGTCCTGTTTTTAGAATACAGTCTCACATGAAACGGGATCCACGACAAGAGATACAGAGTGCTATACATTGGTCTCCAGTCGCCATCTCCTACTGCTAGGCTGCCTTGCTTGACACCAAGGATCCAGTTTGTGAGGACTGTTGCTATGGTTACATAGCTACGACACAGGAAAGAGAACCTTAACAGGAAGTGGTGTCATAATAGATAATGAAAGGGACACCGGCAGCCTATGTCCTTTTCTCGTTTGGGTAAAAGTCTGTCCTCCGTCCTCTGTTCTCTCTCTCCTCCGTGACCCGGAAACCGATAAGTAGTCAAGGAGTGTGTCAAATTGTTAGTAGGCAAACGGAAGATGATCCTCCCCTCCTCAATAGCCTCCTTTTGGCGAGGAAGCACAAGTGTATCCTACCGCAGAAGAGTTTTGATATCTCCCACACCCCCTTTGAATCAGCTGTTGTATTGTCAGAGGAGAAAAGCATGCACACATTTAAAAGCGATATGCTACTTTATCCTTTTATCTATAAAATGTCTTGCACAACATTTATTTTGGGATCCACCCCTGTAAACGTAATTTGCCTGATGACGCACGACTGGAGAAGGAGCTTCTTATTTCAAACAACTACATTTTCGTCCACGTTCAATCTCCTCTCCCCGATTTACCTTTTTCAAAAGGAGTCGAGAGAGGACGGAGGAGAGGACGCAGGAGTTGAGCAAATCTAATTGAGAAAAGGCCCATGAGAACCCGTCTCTGTCCTCTTCCAGTGAGTGCTGTGCTCCTGTGAAAGCCCACAGTCCTGTTTTCCTGTGTCCTCCTCTATTACTTGTGAGAGAACATCTGTGCAGCTTTTCTAGGCCTTTGAACACTGTCAAGACTGTGTCAGTATACTGTTCTGTTCATCATGATATGGCCCTCAATTCCCCGAGCCGACTAGGTGAAGAATCTGTCGATGTGCCCTCGAGCAAGACATTGCTACTGTAAGTCGCTTTGGATAAGAGCGTCTACTAAATGACTCAAATGTAAAGGTATACATTAATCTGATTGACACACTGTCTTTCTTTATTAGTGACCACACAACTTACCAGTCTGTCTTGCCCGCTATCCCTACTTACATCACACTGTATTTATCACTTTACCATCTCATTACAAGGGTTTTGGACAATTCTCAAACCTTTATTTTAAGTAGATAGTTGTTTAAAATATATGAATCATGTCTTACTTTTGGCAGTTTTATAACCTTTCTAACAGATGTGTTCCTACCTTGTTTAGAGAACCACTCTCTTTGCATTGTTTTTGGATATTGCCACTAATACATAGCAGTGGGTTGTTTAGGGCTTGCTAAACCTGCATGTGTAAACCTAGAGTTGGTTCCCATTCAATCAAGTTCAACTGAACGCTTCCAGAATATGAATGGCTTGATATTTAGATGTTGTCCAGCTTTGCCCCTCGCACAAGTCATCAGAACGATTAAACTAGTTACCCATACATTGCCTGTTTGTATCTTTCTGTAATGCATAGCTTTGTGTGGACACCATTGAGAAAACAATGTTTTTTAATGTTTTTACATTTTATTATTCCTATATTCCGCAAGCTTTTGCGTTCTGTATAAGCAGGTATTTTAAGCCTGAAAATAATTCCAGAGTTAACCGTGAATGTCTTAATATTGGCCAAACATGTAATGTTGATTTATTTGAATACATTGAATGAGTTTGGTCTGTCCTTGGACTCCTTGTTGGGCACAATAGCTGGATAAGTATAACCCCATGCCAGAAATACTCCTATTCATACATTGTATTCTGTACATATGGTAAGCATGTTGGTTGCTATGGTAATTTAGCCTTTTTTGGTACGAGGGGGAACACCTAGAGAGGAATGTGTGAAATATAAGGCATATGTTTCTAACTCCAAAACTATGATTTAAAATATAATCAAGTCATTCGTGTAATCTAAAATTGTGGTATTGCTTATCATTATTAGAAAAATAATTATTTAAAACATTTGTATGTAACGCATGATCGTAAAGAACGGACAAAGAGATCATTAGGACTACACTTCCCAGGATACGTGGCGCATGGTATGTTTGTGACGTCACAATGAGTGTATATATAGCTACACTGTAGCGTTCTTTACTCTATTGTTACATTTTAACAAACCGGGGCAGAGGCGAGGAAAAGGAGGACGTCAATCCGGCTAAAATTCTGTAACATTTTGACATTACTGTACCAAACAAGGCGAGGAGGATAACGGCCATTATACTTGAAGAAAAACGACATTAGGCCAATTGAAACCGCCCTTGCAAAGAGTGGATAAACGAATACAGATGTCAGCGGATTGCTCTTCCAATGCAAGCATTTGAAGGCTCAAACCTGGAAGATAAGGCATCCGGCAGTTAGCTTATTATTATTTTTATTAATTTTTTGCAATTCAGCAGAAAAGGATGTCAGTAGCCTAATACATTTAAACTAAACTTGACGTCCTTCTTTCCTACGGTCTGCCCCGGCTATACAGGGTTGTTACGTCAAAGTTACATGGAACATGCACTCCTGGAAGCGACCATAAAATACGTTTCCTTTATGTAGTCCAATATCTGCTTGAAGCCGGTGTAGCCTACTAATGCAGAAATAGTGAAACGAACTGACAATCACAGAAATAAGCATTCATACTGAACAAATTAACAACAGGTTTACTTAAAAAATAGCCAAACGTTACATGTCTGGAAAAAATAATAGGCAAAAATCTAAATAGGGCGTTACAAGATCCATGAACAATCCGCCGTGAATGAAAGGAACGTTCAGCAGTTGATCGGGAGAAGAGAGGGTCCTTTTTCTGCTGAAGGTAAGGAAGGCACTTGGGGGTTTAACGTTTCATGAGCCTGGGCAGTTTGCCATTGTGTGTTAGTCAAGGGGGTGACATAGTATGCTACAGAGACGGGGTCGGTAGAGGCTCCTATGTCTGATAATTAGATTTAGCTACATTATTTCCTACTGCACCCAGTCTGTCGATCGTCACTCCATTTACGAAATATAGATCGTTGTCGTTTGAGGCATTCAAGAGACTTTGTAAGGTTTATTATCAGCACGTAGTAGACTGCGTAGCTTTAGGACGCTCCTACAAATTATATTGCACGCAGTCAGGAATTTTGGAAACAAGGCACAGTCTCACAGTTTCAGTAGTAGCCTACCAAACAATGTGCCTATAGGCTAGTCTTCTTTTACTCTATTATAATTATAGAAGATTGAGTCTAGCCTATGTAGATTATTGTCATTCCCATACTAGAATAGTGTATGCTACTCTAATTTGGTTCAATTGAATTAGGTCATCATCATAAGATGTGTGTCATTGAGGTTTTTCTGATAGCCATTACTGCAACCTGGTGGTTTAATGCCTGGCTAAATGATGTACAGATGTATCTAACAGCCTTTTGCTTTATTAGGCATCCCAGCTCACAGTATGAAAACCAAGGCCTGATACATTGTCCTTTGTATGTAGTAGGCTAGTCATTAACTGATGTTGGCTGTCTGGCCACCCTCTTGGTTGTGATGAAGCTGCATGGTTGTAATTGTATCAGTCAAATCTTTTTGTGACATGTAGGTGGGGGGGAAATACAACTTTTTGCAATAACCACAGATTGTTTTGTGTAGGAGATTGGTGCTGCCTCCTGAAAGGTAATTCTGTAACAAGGGTAATACATAAAGTGCATAATGCATATAATAATTTTCCACTGTAAAAGACAAATGGAGACAGATTTACTTGCAATGCAATCTCTATATGTACTAATGAATAGGCTAGATTCCACTGAAACTTCAACAGAGAAATGATATGTTGCAGTCCCACATTTTCCATAGGGCCATAAAATCACATTTGATTCTGAGGGTTGGTTTTAATCTCATGGGATGGGACGCTATTTATATGACAGTGAAGATCATTGAATCCATGAAAGGGGCACAAAGATGTATAGAGGGAGTCTATTCAAATGTCTCAGCATGGCCTTATTTGACCCTCTGGTGTTGCCAGAGCCGCCTCCTGTCCCTGGCATCCAAATCCCCCGCTATTGAAGGGGCCCGGCCAATGTTATGTTTTTATAGGAAAAGCTAAAGGGACGTAGGGCTACCTATCTAGAGAACAGCTAGTTGCTCTTTCCGTTCATGTAAACCCCTAGCTAGCTGCTTTCCTAGTTGCCATGGTGACGTTTTCCAGATTCAATGATTTGGGAGCAGGATTTTCATGAGAGAGGGAGTGATGAGGTAAGAATACAGATGAAAGGAGAGTGAGACTATACCGAGAAGCTGATTTCACCCCGTTGTGGTATCAGGAATCGATCCACGGCCCAGAGACGTGCTCAGGGGATTCTTCTTAATCTACTGTAGGCTACTTAGAATGTACTTACAACCTTGCCGATCCAGATTTGATTTAATTAATACATGTTTATAAACAGTTACAGTGGGATAATATAATATTTTGTTATTCAGATAGCCCCATAGGATATATGTATTATTACTATGCCTACTGTCTAATTCTCAAATGCCTTGGCTTGATGAAAGTCTTATTTGTTATTTCCGTAAAAAAGATTATAGATATGCCTCTCTGACCTTCACTATTGTATTCATTAAGTCCTTCCAATTGTGTACCTACGCATGTGCCAGACTGATAATCTCTCTCTGTCTGTGACGACTGCCGACTGCTTGTCTCTGACCATAAGTTTGTCTGTCTCTCCACGTTCAGACGCCAAGTTTCCATGGAGGCAGTTTCATCTCTCAGCCTCAAGCGAAGATTCGAGGAGGTGGACAGTGGCTCTCCATACTCTACGCCCAAGGACTCAGACGATGACATTTCCAGCAGTGACAGCGCTGACAGCTGTGATAGCCTCAACCCCCCCTCCAGCACTGCACTCATACGTAAGGGTTAGGATACGGTAGAACCGGCATTACTTGTTGGCTAATGTACTCACCAAATAGACTGATGCATGTAGGGCAACTGACTGCACTAGGCAAATAGTCAGCGAAATGAAAAGATAATTTCAAGTCCATTTAAAAATAGGCTAGGTTTTAAAGTGAATGATGGATTATTACTCTATAATAACCCTTATACTATCTGTGGTTATAACCAGTTTATGGAAACTGTTCATCCACCCTTACCCTTTTCTCTTCACTGCTCTTTTCTCCTCCTCCTTCCCTACCCAGCGACCTCCATCCTAAGACGGCACAAGCCCTCTCCAGGTCGGAAGCGGGTGCGGTTTGATGTGGTGACGGTGTACTACTTCCCCAGGCGGCAGGGCTTCACCAGCGTGCCCAGCCAGGGAGGCAGTTCCCTGGGCATGGCTCGCCACCACTGCTCCATCCGCCGCTACACCTTGGGAGAGTTCGCCTGCGAGCAGGAGACCAGTCACCGCCATGCCGTGCGCCAACACCTCCGCCAAGAGAAGCTCAACGCTCGCAAGATGAAGGTGAGGTCAAACATTGATATTATAGTTACGTTTTGAAGGACCTCCTTGGGTTTAAATGAGAAATCCCTGTTCAGATTATAATCATAATTGGTATGCAGGCACACTTAACTCGACAATTGCATAAATCATGTATTGATATCAATGGAAGATTTGCACTAAAACTTGAGTTATGTGCATGCATCCCCAGTCAGAATTCCACCCTTAGTGAGCAATGTAGGTCTGATTGTTTCTCTTAATGTTCTGTGTGTCTATTTCACCCCATCATCTCCAGCTGACGCGTAACGGTACGGTGGAGTGTGCCCAGGCTGACCTGCTGACCCTCGACGACGTGTCAGACGATGACCTGGATGTAGAGGGGGTGGAGGTGGACGACTGCTTCTTCCTGCAGCCGCTGCCCACCAAGCGGCGCCGGGCGCTCCTCAGGGCTTCTGGTAACGCCCGCATAGATGCCCGGGAGAAGGCTGAGCTACGGACCATCAGGCTGTCCAGGGAGGAGTGTGGCTGCGACTGCCGCTTCTACTGTGACCCCCGCCACTGTGGCTGCAGCCAGGCTGGCATCAAGTGCCAGGTGTGTGTGTATGATGTAATGTGTTTGTGCGCTCAGTACAGATTAGGGTTGAATATTTTCCCAGTATTTGACAAATGTTCCATCCCGAAAATAAATCACTTTTCTCCTGGGTAATTTTAAAGCATATAAATATTTCTGGATTTGATTAGAGCTTTGATCAACATAAAAATTCAAGCCTGATGCTACATGAGCCATATATTAAATACATTTTATGAGCCCTATTTTAAATACATTTTATGAGACCAAGCCCAAAAATGCCCAAATGATTGTGCCGTTAACCAATACATAGCCTATGATATGCCCTATAGGCTACCGCACATTACGCATGAGTCAGAAAAACATAAAAGCCCATAGATGTAGTGATGCACTCTTGGGTAAATAAATGAAACATGCTCCAGGAGGCTAATCTATTTGAGTTTGGACTGTATTACTGTACTGTATTGTATTATAATGTATTATATGGACTGGAATTACGCACCTCCTTCAAACCATGAAGCTGGGAGAGAACATGCGATGCTGGTGCAGGACATGTGTCCTACAAAGGTACAATAGGCCCTTTTCACGTGACGTCAGACAACTTCCGTTCTGCCGCGATGCAGGTTATGTTTACATCCGGTGTCGCTTAGGAACGCTTAGCTAGTAGCACATCATTATGGAGTTCACCCAGTCCCTTTCACATCTGCCACCAATACGACTTAACGACGTAGAACGACTTGCTGACAAGTGGTCCCTTACTTCAAGATCGAAGCTTGATAAAGGCTACATTATTGGATTACAGTAGTATTACGTTTAACGCTGTCTACCTATCCTTACCCCAATCATTCCAGTGGAATCTAGACGGCACTGATCCCTGTTTAATACGGATCCGTCCACTGGCCGATGTGTATCTATCCTCAGGGGGAAAGTGCTGACTGCAAACAAAGGTGCTCCCACGAAGAATCTTAAAACTTGGTCCCTCATCTCTCCTGATCGCCCTCACCCAACGGGCACGTATTTCTCCATCAACAGGGAAATCGTGAAAACTCAGATACGGGAATTTCTGTTTGTTGTTTGAACAAAATGGTACACTGCAATAGCATCTTCTCGAAGATTGTGCCATGCTTCGGTGTTGGATGGGATACTGTTGCGATACAGACACCGGGAGAAAAGAAACAGCTAAATTAACATTCAGCTTTGACCAGGAATCAATATTTATCTAGCTATCATGCACAACAGTATTTGAATAGGTGAGTTACTATACATTCATGAATAAACTAACTGCCTAACAAAGGGTTAGATAGCTAGCTAAGTAAACTTGTTACATTACAGCCAGGCAGCAATGTAACGCTACCTTTTAACGTTATCGGTATCTGGTACTAAGTTGTTGTTAGCTAACGTTAGCCCACTTTTAAGTAACTAAGGCAGTGAACAATTATGAATTAACAATAACGTTAGCAAGTTACAAACCATTGCATATACGTAAACATTATTACTCTTAACTTTACTAATTTAACTTAAACGTACCTTTTGGAATTTCTTCAAGTAGCTAGCTTGCTAGTTAGTGGTCAACAGTTGTATTTTCGTTGAGAAGTCTCAGGTTACGGGCGAACGGAAGTGAAGTTAACCTGCTACGCGGAAAGGCGGAAGTTAGATGACGTCATCGTGAAAAGGGCCTATTATAGGCTAGCGAATTTGATTTTAATTTGGAAATATAATAGGGCCTATTTTAAATTTTTATAATTAGTAGGCTGATGTATATACAGTGGCTTGCGAAAGTATTCACCCCCCTTGGCATTTTTCCTATTTTGTTGCCTTACAACCTGGAATTAAAATGGGGTTTGTATCATTTGATTTACACAACATGCCTACCACTTTGAATATGCAAAATATTTCTTATTGTGAAACAAACAAGAAATAAGACAAAAAAACAGAAAACATGAGCGTGCATAACTATTCACCCCCCCAAAGTCAATACTTTGTAGAGGAACCTTTTGCAGCAATTACAGCTGCAAGTATCTTGGGGTATGTCTCTATAAGCTTAGCACATCTATCCACTGGGATTTTTTCCCATTCTTCAAGGCAAAACTGCTCCAGCTCCTTCAAGTTGGATGGGTTCCGCTGGTGTACAGTAATCTTTAAGTCATTCCACAGATTCTCAATTGGATTGAGGTCTGGGCTTTGACTAAACCATTCCAAGACATGTAAATGTTTCCCCTTAAACCACTCGAGTGTTGCTTTAGCAGTATGCTTAGGGTCATTGTCCTGCTGGAAGGTGAACCTCCGTCCTAGTCTCAAATCTCTGGAAGACTGAAACAGGTTTCCCTCAAGAATTCCCTGTATTTAGCGCCATCCATCATTCCTTCAATTCTGACCAGTTTCCCAGTCCCTGCCGATGAAAAACATCCCCACAGCATAATGCTGCCACCACCATGCTTCATTGTAGGGATGGTGTTCTCGGGGTGATGAGAGATGTTGGGTTTGCGCCAGACATAGCGTTTTCCTTGATGGCCAAAAAGCTAAATTTTAGTCTCATCTGACCAGAGTACCTTCTTCCATATGTTTGGGGAGTCTCCCACATGCCTTTTGGCAAACACCAAACGTGTTTGCTTATTTCTTTCTTAAGCAATGGCTTTTTTCTGGCCACTCTTCCGTAAAGCCCAGCACTGTGGCGTGTATGGCTTAAAGTGGTCCTATGGACAGATACTCCAATCTCCGCTGTGGAGCTTTGCAGCTCCTTCAGGGTTATCTTTGGTCTCTTTGTTGCATCTCTGATAAATGCCCTCCTTGCCTGGTCTGGGAGTTTTGATGGGTGGCCCTCTCTTGGCAGGTTTGTTGTGGTGCCATATTCTTTCCATTTTTTAATAATGGATTTAATGGTGCTCCGTGGGATGTTCAAAGTTTCTGATATTTTTTTATAACCCAACCCTGATCTGTACTTCTCCACAACTTTGTTCCTGACCTTGGTCTTCATGGTGCCGCTTGCGTGGTGGTGCCCCTTGCTTAGTGGTGTTGCAGACTCTGGGGCCTTTCAGAACAGGTGTATATATACTGAGATCATGTGACAGATCATGTGACACTTAGATTCCATACAAGTGGACTTTATTTAACAATTTATGTGACTTCTGAAGGTAATTGGTTGCACCAGATCTTATTTAGGGGCTTCATAGCAAAGGGGATGAATACATACAGTGGGGAAAAAAAGTATTTAGACAGCCACCAATTGTGCAAGTTCTCCCACTTAAAAAGATGAGAGAGGCCTGTAATTTTCATCATAGGTACACGTCAACTATGACAGACAAATTCAGATTTTGTTTCTCCAGAAAATCACATTGTAGGATTTTTAATGAATTTATTTGCAAATTATGGTGGAAAATAAGTATTTGGTCACCTACAAACAAGCAAGATTTCTGGCTCTCACAGACCTGTAACTTCTTCTTTAAGAGGCTCCTCTGTCCTCCACTCGTTACCTGTATTAATGGCACCCGTTTGAACTTGTTATCAGTATAAAAGACACCTGTCCACACCAGGCTGGGAAGGCTGAATCTGCAATAGGTAAGCAGCTTGGTTTGAAGAAATCAACTGTGGGAGCAATTATTAGGAAATGGAAGACATACAAGACCACTGATAATCTCCCTCGATCTGGGGCTCCACGCAAGATCTCACCCCGTGGGGTCAAAATGATCACAAGAACGGTGAGCAAAAATCCCAGAACCACACGGGGGGACCTAGTGTATGACCTGCAGAGAGCTGGGACCAAAGTAACAAAGCCTACCATCAGTAACACACTACGCCGCCAGGTACTCAAATCCTGCAGTGCCAGACGTGTCCCCCTGCTTAAGCCAGTACATGTCCAGGCCCGTCTGAAGTTTGCTATAGTGCATTTGGATGATCCAGAAGAGGATTGGGAGAATGTCATCTGGTCAGATGAAACCAAAATAGAACTTTTTGGCAAAAACTCAACTCGTCGTGTTTGGAAGACAAAGAATGCTGAGTTGCATCCAAAGAACACCATACCTACTGTGAAGCATGGGGGTGGAAACATCATGCTTTGGGGCTGTTTTTCTGCAAAGGGACCAGGACGACTGATCCGTGTAAAGGAAAGAATGAATGGGGCCATGTATCGTGAGATTTTGAGTGAAAACCTCCTTCCATCAGCAAGGGCATTGAAGATGAAACGTGGCTGGGTCTTTCAGCATGACAATTTTTCCAAACACACCGCCCGGGCAACGAAGGAGTGGCTTCGTAAGAAGCATTTCAAGGTCCTGGAGTGGCCTAGCCAGTCTCCAGATCTCAACCCCATAGAAAATCTTTGGAGGGAGTTGAAAGTCCGTGTTGCCCAGCGACAGCCCCAAAACATCACTGCTCTAGAGGAGATCTGCATGGAGGAATGGGCCAAAATACCAGCAACAGTGTGTGAAAACCTTGTGAAGACTTACAGAAAACGTTTGACCTGTGTCATTGCCAACAAAGTGTATATAACAAAGTATTGAGAAACTTTTGTTATTGACCAAATACTTATTTTCCACCATAATTTGCAAATAAATTCATAAAAAATCCTACAATGTGAATTTCTGGGATTTTTTTTCACATTTTGTCTGTCATAGTTGACGTGTACCTATGATGAAAATTACAGGCCTCTCATCTTTTTAAGTGGGAGAACTTGCACAATTGGTGGCTGACTAAATACTTTTTTTTCCCCACTGTATGCACGCACCACTTTTCCGTTATTTATTTTTTCGATTCTTTTGAAACAAGTTGTTTTTTTCATTACACTTCACCAATTTGGATTATTTTGTGTATGTCCATTACATGAAATCCAAATAAAAATCCATTTAAATTACAGGTTGTATTGCAACAAAATAGGAAAAATGCCAAGGGGGATGAATACTTTTGCAAGGCACTGTATACCTTTTATAATATTTCCCCCACTGTAGTGCGACGTGCGAATAGCCTGCCTACCTCTCTTTATTGTTGCTTTATTCCTTCCTCGCTTTCAACAGTTAAATGAAATACAGTACGTTTCGTTGTCCTTATCTTCATCATTGTCATGACATGCTTGGAAAATATAG